GACCCTAAGGAAATGAGTGCAGATTCAAGAAAATTGGAGGGAGGGGGAGTGACATAATGAAATCCCTTAGTTGTGTCAAGATGTCATTTTTCTGACTAGGCTCAAGGTCAGCCCCTGAGGTTCAGATTAGCTGTTTTAAGACAGGTTAGAAAGACAGGTTCATTTCATGTTTCTCCCCAGAATTCAGATACACTTGAAATGAGATTGGGTAAACAAAGCTGATCAAAGCCAGGGGCCCACAGTGCATCAACCCTTCCGCCTTACCTACTCAGTGACAAAATAGAAAAAAAAAAAGTTTGACATGGTTGTGAGGAGACTAGCATTTTTTTAAGTGATTAACACATGGCAGATAATTTGCTAAGTGTTGGGAATTCAAAGGAAAAGTGAGAAGAGTCCCTAACCTTCAGGAGCTTACATTCTAAGGGGTAGATATATTGGTAAAACAAGAAAAAACACAGAATTCTAGGTTTCTAATTTCTTTAGATCAGGAACAAACTCTAAGCTAAGAATGGTCCAGACCCTAAGGCCACAAAGGAGTTGAAGTCAGAAGTTACAGGGTCAAAGGGTTCATTATTGGGTTTAGAGCTAGACAGACTTTTAGCGACAGCAAAGCGATAGTGGAAAAGGCTCTGGATTTCGAGTTAAGCCAGGCCAAGGCTCAAATTCTGCTTCTATCACTCACTAGCTATGCATAAACATGGGAAATGATTTAATCTCTTCCAGCCTCAGTTTTCTCATTTCTAAAACAGGGATATTGGATATGAATAGGCAATTTTCAAAAAAAAGAAATGTGTCAACCAATAGCCATATGAAAAATACTCCCAATAGCTAATAATTAGAAAAATACACATTAACACAACTCTGAGAATCTATCTCCACACTTAAGATTGGCATAGGTGATAAAAAATGAAGTGATGTGGGAGAACAGGACACTAGCATATTTTTGGTGGAACTGCAAATTGGTTCGACCATTATGGAAAGCAATTTAGAAATATACCCCCCCACCCCACAGTTGCTAAGCTTTTAACTTTTTTCCTCAGTGATACCACTATTAAGGATAAAAGAGTTCAAAGAGAGAGGGAAAAGATCCCTCTGATAAAAATATGTATAGAAGCACTTAATATAACAAAGAACTGGAAACATAGTAGGTACTGACCTATTGGGAATAGCTGAACGAATTATGGCTCATGAATGCAGTGGAATATTATTGTGCCACAAGGAATGATGAAAGGAAAATATTCAGAGAAACATGGAAAGATTTGTATAAACTAATAAAGACCAAAGTGACTATAACTGGGAGAAAATGCATATGAGTACAATGATGTACCAGTTATGTGTAACCCAAGCCCTAAAGATCATTGGCATGAAACTCTCTCCTTATTGGTGGAATTAATGCCCACCATCTGTGTCAGAGGCAGAGTAAAGCTGACAAGAGAGAGAAGAGGTCTCATCAGTCTCTTTTCTCCAATCTCTTTAGAGGTTGCTGGTCTCCAGCTTAATGAGACAAGATGCTTGAAATTCCAAACTCTCTTCAGGGACATAAGGGGAGAAAAACTATGGGAAGAAGCTAGTACAAGAAGAATTGATAATCTCTATCATGTTGCTATCCCTAGCTTGCTACACTAGAGACTTGGAGGAATTTCCCCTTTGGGTGAGATCTGAGGTCCCTTGGTTGACTCGAGCTACCTCACTTCCCACAGGAAACTCTTTTACTCTGTATTGTCTGGTATATATGCTCCTATGTATAATTTCCTCTGCTTTTTGTTTCGCTATAAACTTGGATAATTGGGTTTCTTTGCAGTTTGCTATGTGTGTTCATTGTGAAACTGGATTTTGCTAAGAAGGAATTCAAGTCTTGGATATAAAGGTTAGAGTCCTCCTTTCCCCATTAAGAAAAACTCATCCGGAGATTAGGTTGAACCTTAAAATCATATCCTCTAAACTAATAATATTTAAGGGTAAAAATAGATATGATTCTATCCTGGTATTCCCTCTTTCTGAGGAAAGCAGAGCAGCTCTGGTCTCCACCTCTTGCTTCCCTTTCTGGAAGGAACCAATGTCTCCCTTGGACAAGGATGGGGAAAGGAGACACTAGATACAACTATTCTGGCCTCCTTTTGAGCCAAATGAAGACAAGCTTGTTACATATGAAAGACTTGAGAATTCTGATCAATGTGAAACTTAAGAACTCTGATCAACTTTGACTAATTATGACTTGAAAAGATTGATGATGAAGCCTGCTTCCCAGTTTTTAACAAAGAGGTGATGGACTAGATGTTCAGAATGAGACATACATTTTCAGACCCAGTCAATGTATGAATTTATTTTCTTTGTGTGTGTGTGTGTGTGTGTGTGTGTGTATGTGTGTATATATACATATATATACACACATACACACACACACACACACACACACACATATGCATTTATGAAAGGCTTTTGGGAGGAGAGTAAAGGAGATAGTGATAGTAATCCCAGAAAGGAAGACAGACAGAGAGAAAGGAAGGAAGGAAGGAAGAAGGGAGGGAGAAAAAAGAGAAAGAAAAAGAAGGAAGGAAGAAGAAAGAAAGGAGTGTTAATGTTTTTAAAATACACAAAAGAGAACAGAGGAAGTTCAGACTGGAACAGACAATCAGGGAAGTTATTTGTACTAAATTTAATTTGTGTTAAATTTAATTTTTAAAAAACTGAGTGCTATATGATCAAGATTTGAGATTTCATATACACTCCTCTTTTTCTGTTCTTCTTTTATATGTTGATGTTTTAAAATTCACAATAAAAATGTTTTAATAGAGTACTTATCTCACAGGTTTGCTACAAGGATCAAATTACAATATATGCAAAGAGCTTTTTAAAACTTAACAAGCTATCTAAAAGCCAGCTTTGATCATCCAATTTAATCCTGTCATTTTACAAATAAGGAAACTAAGACTCCAAGAAGCTAAATGATTTGTACTAGGTCAAATAGATAGTAAATAAATCACAATGGAGATTCAGACCTAAATTCTCTAATTCCAAATCCATTTATCTCTGTACATTGCAATATGCGACACCTCTAGGCAAAGAGTCACAGGCAGAAAAAAAGCTTGGAAATAGTATACTGACTCACGAGAACTCTTGGTGTTAAGGACACAAAGCAAAAGAGTGGAGATAGAAGAAAGTGCGATCTCAGGCAAACCATGTCAAGAGAAGCCATTGAGGAAAAAAAAAGGGGGGGAGGGAGAACAGCCCTTTCTTTTTAAGATTCAATATTGATTGCAACATAGATTATCTGGATTGCATTTTTTTTTAACAAGGAAAACACAACTTTTCTGAGAGTGTGGTGGACTATGTGTGTGGTAGGAAATAGGGCAAGATGACTAATTTGAGTGGCATCCAGGGTAAAATGGCCTGTCAAGTTGTGGCTAAGACCATATGGCTAAATGGCCCTTTGCAATTTTCCCCCTTCATTGGAGGTTGATTTTTAATGTTTATATCCTATAACTTATAAAAGATGTAGGAGTTAGAAATACAAAAATAATATATTCCTACTAGAGATTTAAACTGACTTATTTTTTTCCCCATATATGATCCTTGGATTTGACCTAGAAAATACTAAGTGATCTGAGCTTCATTATTTTAGGATGATATTGTTAATCTCATGGTATTATATTAGAAGATGGATTTAATAGCTTTGCTCTTGATGTTGACAAATATCCAAAAACGAAAAGACTAATGGTCAGTAAAATCCATATATTAGAGACAAAATTCTCTGGAGGCATAAGTTTGTCCATTCATTGAGCCCTAGAGACTGTTTCCACAATCTTTTAAGAAAATGATTCCCAAGAGACTCCAATTAAAGTCAACTAAACCTAGGAAAATTATAAATATTTCTGTTTTGGGAGTGGAGGTGGGATTATATTTAAGGTATTATATTTAAGAACAAGTAACGTAAAACAGCATTATGGAATAAGAAAGAAAACAACTTTTATTTGACCTTGAAAGCACTAGTTATTCTCTAAGAATTTTTTTTTAAAGTCTACAGGGTAGTTGTTTCTTGTCATTATACTGTTGCTGATTCTGTGGTTAGTTATTAATTTTATTTTTTATGATTCACAATCTGCTCTTTGAAATATGCCATATGCTCAAAGCAATTCAAGGATGACAACTGTCAGAATTACTCCAATAAAAATTGCCTAAATGAGGAAGATTTACTGCAGCCTGATATTTCTGTGGAAAGTCCCTCTTCCCTCCCCCTACAGCTTTTCAGTTACTGGGAAGCCTGCAACATGTTCTTCAGTCAAAAATCACATGGCTGTTTTGTGAAAACTTCTAAAACTCCTTGTTAAGTAGAATGGTTGATAAAATGCACGAGGCTGAGTGTGAAGTAGCAAACAGAAAAAAAAAATTACACATATGCATAGATACATGTACATACATACATGTATATGTTTATTAGACTGATGACCTGTAATCAGTATGTGAGCTCAAAATCAGTTTCCTTAAATCACGAGCACATATATTGACTCAACGTGACATTGTCTGCTTTATATATGACTAATAAAAATTAAATTGGAAGGGTCCTACATCCTGGAAACACCAAAAGAAACCAGAGGCAAATTTCTTTCTTTTCTGAAAAGACCTAAGGGGTGGTTAATATCCATTGGAATGCTCCAATCAAAACATGTTTGGTTAGATGTTACCATCCCATTTATTCTTCATTTTATTCTGGCTTATTTATTAACGCAGTTTCATTTATCGCTATTCATCTTGAAGATAAATCTTTGTCCTTCTATAGAATTATGCCAAATAGAATGTGATAAAGGGAACTTTCTTGCAATTATGATGTCGGTGCAGCCTGTCAGCACATAGGGGATGGAAATGAGGTTGGGGACAGGGAAGGGAATTCTAATAGACACCATGATACATACAACGAACGTAGCGATATCCTAAGAGAGAAAGACTTGTCAGGCTAATCAGATCTTCTATAGCAAGGTAAAGGCAGAAATGGTAGCTCTAACCTTGTAAAGATGCTGCTGCTGCTCCTCTGACATCATCAGGTCATGGCTGTCCATCACTATAGATTCCATGTCAATCAGCCAATCCCAGAGCTCCTGATATTCTGAATCAAAGTCCAAAAGTCTGTAGATAAGGAAGAAAATGTATTATGCATAAATACAGTGTAGTTGTTAAAATCTTGTATTAGAATAATGTATTCTTGAAACTCGTGATGTTCCTAGGAGATATTTGTAAGGGGGGGGAAGGGAGGGAAGCATTCTGTGTGTGGTTACACACTCTGTGTAACCACAAAATAGAAAATGAAGCCAGTGACAAAGGACCTAGATTTTTAAAATCGAATGTTATTCACACTATTCATGCCTGAGACCCAGTCGTGGCTTTTTTCTTGCAAAGCTATTACATGGGATCTCAGAGCCCTTGAAGAAAAGAACCGTCCCAGTAGCACTGGAAAACGCCCCCAGCATATCTATACTTGTCACTCTGAAAAATGGAAATTGAGTGGCTAATGGGAATCCTGGTGCCTATGGTAAGAACAACGCCCCAAACTTTCAGTTACTATTAGATTTATCATAGGTATCAAACCCTTACCAACTCAGGACTACAAACATTATATTTAACTAACTTCTTTACAATAATTGCAATACATCATCATATCCAAATTATTACTTCTACTGAAAAAAATTACTCAATCCATTTATCTGTCCTTCTGCTGTCTATCTGCCTATCTCTGCAAATATATATCCTACATTTATTTTCATGGATGAGTAGCTAGCATTTCAGCTTAACACTTTAAGATAGGCTTGAGTGAATATGGTAAGCCAGTGAGAACTAAGGCCAGATACAGTATTAGACAGGTGTTCCCTACAGACATGTAAGAAACAAAGGTAAGGACAGGAAGTCAAAACAATGAATCCTTGAATAGCCAGCAATCATTAAAATTCAAAGGAGGATCACTACAGTTTTCAACAAAATAAATCATTAGAATAAGGAGCTTAAAAGGATTAATGTGATTCTCTATTGAAAGCCTGGTTAATAAGTAAAGCAGAGATTCTTCTAAAACACCATGATTCAAGAAAGAAAGCAGAGGCTAAAAAACTGCAAATTCGTCAAAAAAAAATCATCTCTTAAAAGAAATCCTTGAGTCTTGTCAAACTGTAACTGAGAAAAAACTCATCAATAACAATGAAGCAGAAACCATAGTTATAAATGTGGATCTATCAAGTGATTACTGCATTCTCTCCATCTCCCATACCCATTAAATGATTGCTTGCCTAGAGAATTGACTTGCACCATTTAAAAAGCATCACCTTACTACATCTGACAAAAGTATTATAAGGCATGTCTGCTGATGGGAGAAGCTGGATCAAAATGGGGCAATAAAAATATCAATCGTATATTAAATTTCATGATGTTATAAGCTCTAGGTGGGGGAAGGGGAACCATTAGTACAAGTGATTTAACCAACAACCTTTGTTTGCAATGTGGTGGAATCAACAATAGTATCTCATTCCAAAAGGCTAGAAACAAGCCAACTGCAATAATGTGGACAGGTGGTGATGATCTTGGGTCCATTATTAAGTCTGGGTAGATTCATGTTATTTCACGTGCTCACAATGGAAGGAGCATGTGTTTGCTTAGAATGGCCCTCTGTCCTTGCAAGTTCAAGACTGGGATATTCATCTATGGAGATTACAGATTGTATAAGTGGTTTCATGGAAGGCATAATGTTTCTATGCAAGTATGATGTCAAAGAGGAGATAGAAGGTAGGGAGGGAGGGAGGGAGAGGGAGAAGGGGAGGGAGAGAGAGAGGGAGAGAGAGAGAGAGAGAGACAGACAGACAGAGAGAGAGAGACAGACAGACAGAGAGAGAGAGAGAGAAAGAGAGATACAGAAACAGAGATAGATGTTGAGACAGAGACAGAGACTAGAAGAAACACTCAATTTGTCTTGATTTAAGAATACAACTTAAGATATTTCTCTTTAAACTTGGGCCTCCAAAAGTTCCCTGATGAAGTTATTTTGCACATTTTCCATAAGCAGTGTAATGACCAGAAGATCACCAGATAAGGTTGATGACAGCAGGAAAATTAATAGATAAAAGTCTGTCTCTTGCCTCCCCCCCACCAATATATCATGCTTTAATTTGCTCCTTTTAGCTTTCTGCTCATTGTATCTTGTAAAGATGTGTCTGGTGAGCTTTGCCTAGGAAAGCTATTTTTCAGTATGTTTGGACATGATGAGAGATGGGTTCTTCTGCCATAATCAGGCCCTTCAATTACACCATAAAGGAGCTAACAAATTTTAGTAACTTTCTGAAAGAACAGATTTTCTTCTTTTGACAACAAAATGATCTTCTAACTCATGTTATATGAAGATCCCAACCCTTCTCCCTTGACCATCATCCAAGAGTGTGCAAATGCATCAGCAACAGATGGTTAGAAGGCAGCTCTCAAAGCATCTAGGAGCAGGAGCATCAGTTAGACATGAGATGCATTGAAGCAGTCTTCTCACTGGAACATCACAAGTCAGCGTACCTCTTACACACCTGACGGTGCAACCAGAATCGGTAATGATTCTTATGTGAAATGCCTGAACTTATCCTCCTTTCTGCTACTACAAAGTAGTTCTCAGGACTGAAATGGAGCCATATTCTTTGGTTCACCATGCTAGGGTCATGTTGCATAACTTGGTTCTTATATTTTAGATGGGGGTAGAAATCTATGCAAAGCTAATGTAGGATACATGAAATGGAATTTCTGATGAAGACAAACTTCAAATAAGTTAATGATAGATATAAGATAAACAGTCCTTTCTTCCCTATGTCCAAACCATTTTTCACTGGCTTTGAACACACTTTTGTTATATTTACTCTTTACTCTTTTAGTCAAATCCACCATCCCTTCTGCTAGTGTTCTTATCCCTAAGCTAAGAGGGGAAAAGGACATTTGTCTGCAATTAGTAGATCATAGATTTAGAGATGAAAGTGATCTTAGGGAAGTGGTTTCATAGTAGACATGTATGTCAAAGAGGAGAAAGGAGAGAGTAAGGGAGGGAGGGAGGGAAGAAAAGGAAGGAAAGAAGGGAGAGAGAGAAGAGAGAAAAAGAAAGGAGAGAGGGAGGGAGAGAGAGACAGAGACAGAAAGGAAGAGAGGGAAAGGAAGAGAGGGAGAAAGATAAAGGGGAAGAGAGTGAAGTGCTATTGTTATCCCCATTTTATAGTTGAGGAAAGTGAGGCAGAGGCTAAATGACTTGCCTTGGGTCACATAGCTGGTAGGTGTATGAGGCTGGATTTGAACTCAGGTCTTCCTTAATCCAGGTTCAGCACTCTATCCACTGCACCATAAGCTGCCTCATGGAAAAATTTCTCCCTCTTTCTAAAAATAAAATCCAGTTTCCTCCACAAAGAGATTTGGTCAGGAGGTCAAAAAACATTTATTCATTGTTTAGTATGCTACACATAAAGCCAAGAGAAAGACAGTTTCTGCCCTCAAAGTGGTTGGTTTATAATGTGGGAAGGCAACATATAAAAGGAAAATAAAAAGTGGGAGGGCGGTGAGATGAGGAAAAGGCAGCTCTAGAGGAACATGATAGAGAAGGAAATTCTGAGAGTCAGAAGTAGAGTACCAAGAGGAATAAAGGAGTGAGTCTGGGTCTAGATAATTACTTCATCTGTGTAGTGTTGGTGTCAGAGTTCACTCAATGATGCAAGTTCTCATAAAACTAAGAAGTCACATAGTTTATGCTATAGGCAAGAGGGAGTCCACCTCTTGAGCAAGAGATATTCATGAACAGACCTGTGCCTTAGCAACAGCAGTTTGGTGTGGAGGAAGAGACTGGATTCATGGAGACCAATTAGGAGTCTACTGAAAGAGTCCATTTTAAAGCTAATTTGGGGCTGAGGTAGGGGGTAACCACGTGAGAGAAGAGGAAGTGAAAAATATGAAAAGTGTTGTAGAAATAAAGTGGACATAAAGTTGAGTATCGCTTCAAGGTTTCCACCCCAGATTACTGAAAGGGTGGGATTATCCTCAGTAGAAAAGGGAAGTTAGGAAAGGGAGTATGTTTAGTGGGAGAAGACAAGTTCTATTTTGGTTATTTTTAGTTTGAAACCTATATGTCACCCAGTTGGAGATACCCAGTAGAAAATTGTTAAATGAGAGCTAGATAGATAGATTTTGGAATAATCTGTACAGACATTATAAATGAATTCCTAGGGGCTCATGATATCACTGGGTATACAGAGGAACAAGAAAAGGTCCAGGAAAGAATCCTGAATTGTGCCCATTTGTAGTCAGTAGGGACTAGATGATGACTCAGCAAAAAAGGAGCGCTCAGAGAAGTAGGAGCAGAATGAGGAGAGAGCTGTGCTACAAAACCAAGGGAAAAGAGAGTATCTAGAAGTGACTGATCTACAGTATCATGTTCTGTAGAGTTCAAGAAGGATGAGGAGACTGAGAGTAGGCCATTACAATAATTAAGACCACTCAAAGCCTTAGATAGAGAAGTTACAGTTATGAGGTGGTGTTGAAAAAGAGATAGGAGTACGTAGAAGTTAGGAGGAAGAGAAGTGGAAGTAATGAGTATAAATGACTCAATGGAGCAAAGACACAGCCAAAAAAATTTGGGAGAATGGCTATATTTTCCCAGTATCTTGTCCACCATTCTATGCTCTTTTTCTAAGGTTAATGTGTGTGTATACACAATATACATGCATGTATTACATATACACATATATATATGCATATATATGTATGTATTATATACATATATACACCGCACTGTCAAGTCTGAAAATAAATCAAAACTCACACATAAAGAGGTATCTTTAATTAAGGCTGTTCTATATTGCAATTCTTTGACCTTGAATAAATGTCTTATTTTATTTATTAATTACCTTGTTGACCTGATTTTTATACAGGCTTGACAGCATACATATGTGTGTGTGTGTGTACATGCATGTATATAAGAATATACCTATAAGCATGTGTGTATAATCCATATATGTATATATATGCATAATATGCATGTATGCATATTATATATGTATATAGTCCATATTTTTGCTCATTCATTAAATATCCATAGATCTGACTGGTGTAATTTATTACTAGTCTGGAATGTA